ACCCCGTTGGTTAAATTGCGGTAGCTGTCGTGATCTCATGTACTTAGACTGTCAACCGCAATTCAGTCGGAAGGAGGGCAGTAAGAATTTTAGCATCGCGAATGCGAAACCACGTCCGCTCTTCACCACCATTTTTGTCTAGTATTTGGGAAATATAGCATGCTGCATCTCCACACCCTTCAAAGCACAGACGCAAAATTTGCGAAAAATCGCCTGATTCCCTTACAGCTCAACATTTCTAGAATGCCGTAATTACGCGACGTAAATGAAGCCACTAGAGAATATCCGTACGTTCAGACTGGAACCCATCACGTTCCTAACATATCGTCCGCAGTTAGAATTCGATCTACCCAACTACTCCTTCGCACGGCAGTTTGCTTGTTTGTTTGCAATTATGCCTGACGATTTCTAGAAACATGGCTTGCGGGAAACACTTGTGCAAATGCAAACTTCTCCCACTTCTCTTGAATTCTCTCTGATTTCTTTTAAACGCTTTGTAACAGTCTGCAAGGACTTTGTTTTATGCCAGTCCATAGGCATGTCTTCCGGAATAATTCTATTTAAGGCAGAGAAACTATCGGGTTTTATGTCCTGACGAACATGCTTTGCGTGAGAGTTGCAGGCTGTTTTGCGTCAAGGACGGAGGGTCATATATTTCATGCGTATGTGTTTGGCGAAATCGTCTCGGGACAGTTTCCGCATTGTGACTGCACTCTATTTTACAACCCAAAGGGACGTTCGGAAACCCGCCTTAAACGCCAGCAAAGTGCATTCCGTCTCCATGAGTGAATTGAAAGCCACGGTTATCCCGATTTGCATACGTTTGGAAACACAATATATGCCTTAACTGCATTATATTTGTGATTAACAAATTTTGGAATGAAACTATACAAATTGCTTTACCAAATGTCGGATAAACAGTTAGGACTGCAATTTCAAATAATTGACGATCATATTTAACTGTGGCGTTCATTTTCATCAGATAATATCTGTTTAGACTTAATATGTCGCAAGCATGGCCCTATTGCTTAAAGCGAAGAGTATGGATGTGAAAGCCCATAGGTTGACGGTGAGGTCAATGAATGAATCATCCAAAATCTTTACTTAAATTCATTGCTTCTGACTTCGATAAAACAGATACACCCACATATACGGTGGAGATATTTGCGGTAAGGTCGCACTAAGGGACTCCTGGAAGGAAGGCGCCGAAAATCTTGATTATGCAAAATAAAACGTCGACTAAATTATCATTCTTTTCTTAATTTACTGTAATTAATTCCAAAAACAGGACTTCGACAATTTAAATGCACAACAGCGAAAGACATCTTGGAGAATTTTGACTCCCATACCCAATTCAGGCGCATGACCTCATAAAATAACCTTTCTACGTTCAAAGACTGCTCGCATTTGTCGGAAATGTTGTAGTAATTCATACTTTCGGTACAAAGTGTCTCCAAAGTTGTACGTTGCGCGCAAATGTTACATTTTCTTTATTACTGCAGGAGCCAATTGTAAGGGCTTGTACCAAGTAAACCACCAGAATCATCTGACATTGGATGTCCGTTTTATGTCATTTTTATCACATTCAGTTTTTGAATATAATTACAATCCGGATTTAGTAATGCCGCGCGTCTAAAAAAATTCCCCTTGTTCAAACACTTTTAAAACCATCCTCCGATCGACCTCCTTTATCAACATTCTTTTTTCCTCTTCTGGCTTTCTTCAATGAAATTCGCCAGTTTCCTACTGAAAAGGTTCCATTCATAATTCATTCGCCGAAAAAGATTTTGTTACTCCGTATTTTCTATTAAAAGAAACCTGACTTTTAAAGTGCATTTTAGGAACCCGTGATGAATTTACTCTTTTTCCATGAGAGACCACTGTTCGCGCTACTAAGAAGGAAGCGACCAAATTGCCAGAATCAGCTTCAGTCCGTTTTGAGACATTTTGATTCAAATAGACTTGGATTGAGCCACATCTTACTTTTGGTGATGTTGTGCTTCTAACAAAATTCCCTTTTTTAAACACTTTCAAAATCATTCTCCTGATGGCCTCCTTCATCAACTTTCCTTTGTCCTATTCTGGTGTCTCCCGAAGAAATTCGCTAGTGTCCCGTCTGAATGAACTTTATTTTCTTGACAAAGTTCTTCTTGTTAACCAAGACAATACCATGAACTTTCTGAAACCAAGACATCACCAGTTATTTATGAGGATTTTATGGTGGGTTGCGTAGAAGCAGCATTACAACGAAGACAAAGCCTAAGCAGCAATTTGGAACCTTCCCTCATTGGCCATTCTCCTTTTGATTCTCACACACACTTGTTTGTTGTCCTCGCATTTGTATTCTCTCATTGTGGTTTTGCTTGACCTCCTTTTGGCGATGTGGCCTCATGCTGAAACTGTGACCTTTCTAGTTTCACTTTCGATCATATGAACGAACTTAACATGTCATTTATTTCTTCGTCTGTATCCATGTCATGAAGCGTCGGTAGGCAGCTGATAGCAGTGGCGAATGTTTTTGCAACCAATAAATCCTGTCCGGCATGTTTGCTACGACATATTATTAAAACAGATGGGTTGCATTAGACACATGTTCAATTTTCCAAAAAGTTGCCTAGACCAAGCGGAAGCTCACCTTAGTAATCAGAGAGGGAATATTAGTCGGTTATGGCAGCTGGCGAATTCGTTTTCAATAGCATGGTTGGTGCAGTACTTTAAGCAATTACGGGTCTGAAATATTTGTTTATGCGCCTTTTTAGTTACCAGTCTGCCTTGGGTCAGTGGGCGATTTTTAGAAAATCAGCAGTATCATACCTGGTAAGCGTCTGATACATTACTCAATTAGACTGCATTTAACTACTTCACGGCAGAATTGTTAAGCCAATAATACTTGTCTGGTTTTCCCCACCATGGCTGGCAACTCATTGGTCGTAATTCCCCAGCTCAGCTGATCGAATTATTGATTCAACTGCTCGATTACCACATAATGCGCCTGAATTTCAATTTCCCTGTGCTATGGTCCGACAGCTCTTTTGCTGATGACTCAAACAAAAACGGAGTTGATCTCACCCTGAACCCCGTCTTTGACGGCAGTTCTTCATGATTATTAACTCTTCCTAACTGTGCGACTAGCTTTGAAGATCACTGGTTAGAGCGCTCAGAAAAAGTAGGTTACTCATATTCGGGCTCTGCTCTAGAAACACCTGCGTGAGCGCCAAACCAATACGACTCTGAGTATTTATGACAAACTTTGACAATCCTTGCACTTACTGACCAACCACTGAGATAGCTCTCTCAAATTCTTCGTACTCGAATGTCCAGACTTTGAAAACCTAAGTTAACGCACCTAAACTGAGATCAGACTGTCTGTGCGGGTCGAAAAGTTTTTATTAACATTTACTTTTAAGCGAGGATTTCGTAAATTACTGTCGCCCTCAACATTGATACCATTCTCAGTTATATAACATAACGCGCATGTTCAAAGCGTACCGCCGCTTTCCCGTATATTAAGAGGCATTCTTAATCATCCGAACATCCCTTCGGGAAAGCGGCCTAGACAAACTTCCGTTCCTCAAATTCCCTCAGGCCTCAGAGAAAAGTGATTTGTCATTTGCTTTTCAGTGAAGTCTAAATAAGCGGCGGCAGAGAAACCAAGATTAATTGCTAACGACAATGCATCCTAGCTCGGATAATTTTACAGGGTCACAAACGTTAAGGATTGCCGTATGCATGCAATATTTTGCTGATAGTGATCAATCTAATGCAAATAGTGATTGCAGAATTTCGCGAAAACACATTTTTCTCGTTTCTAACTAACGATAAGTTTCCCAATACGTCTTGCATTTAATATCAGCGAAGCAGACAGACGTTCATATGGGAAGTTCTCTCAAATGATGTGCATCTTATTCGACAACCGTTAGAAATCGTTAATTCTCACTTCGAAATTCACAAATGAAGCTTTCTCCAAGTACACCAGACTGAAAGCTTTACTGTGAAGAAGATTCAACAACAATGTCCTGTTTAAACGACTACGTTATTTTTAGGAGCATTTGTTTTGTTTATAAAATTCTTCTTTTTTAAAAGGTAGATTGCATGTTTGTCGTTCCTGATGGGAGTCCAGAGCGCTGACTCTCCTTGGTAAATGTCAGAAATTAATGCCATTAATTTGGAAAACTCATCCGTAGGATGTATTATACAGCGATATGGAAGGTAGTATGGCACGAAATGCAGGAAATTCAAATAGTTTTCGGTTCTAAAATAACTGTCTTATATATCCTTTTTAGTGTCAGTTACTTGGTACGTCTCCATCGAGTAAGCAAAATGTTGGCGCTCATGTACCGTGCAGATGCCTCTGGCATGGAACAAAAATCTAAATTCACATTTTTATTGCGGCAGTTAAAAATAAGCCATCTGAACATTTTCCCTGGTAAAAATCTCGGCCGCATACTGTATCCGTACGCTAAAAACAACGTTTCTTAAAATGGTGACTTTCGAAACAGTTTGGATGATTGGAAATATTTGCAAAATATCCGCCACTGAATTACGTTCTGACGAACAAGTTATGCTGCGCATAAAAGTTTTTGCTTTTCCATAGAAATTAAAGCGTTCCATGCATGTTATTGTGTTTAGTTCTGTGACCGCCGCCAGTCATAATTTAAATTTCGACCTTAGATAATTTAAAACTTCCAATTCGACGCACGTTTCGTATCCGCTCAGTCCACACCATAGATATTTAGATTTCCTTCTACAACTTGCACGCATTTTCCAATGCAGCAAATTCATCACCCTACGCAGATGAAATAAGAGTCTTTGAAATAAAATGAAGGGAGAAATACTTCATACCCTGTATTTTGTTTTGCTAACTGTTGTAATTGGACACGTTTGCATGATAACAGAGTACAAAGCTTCTGGCTTATGAGCCAGCGCTGAGATAAACAGAGAAATGAGAAAACCGGTAAAAAGATTGCGTATAAAATGAAAGCCCACTTTGCAGATCCCACCTAGACGTAGTCCACTTCTATGCTCCGGAGACCTGCAAAGCTCACTCTCTTATCCTTCGAAGGAGTTCGTCTTGTCCGACACAGGGACTTCGGTCCCTCGAGTTCCTGTACCGAGCTCTCACTGACTTCCGTATCCTCAGTGGCTTCTTGCAATGAACACTCCTCCGCCGTCGGGCCTAGCTGTGTTGGTAGAACGTTCACGAAGGGCATGAGAGCACCGTACTGGAAGTGCTTCTCAAACTCTCGAAAACCTGCAATCAGCATATTGATGTCCACGTTGTCCTCACATATGAGACTGCCATCGGGTCCTGTCTTGAGCCTCAATTGAGTGGAGGTGTGTGGGGTTCGGGCAGAATGGTGATTGCGCTGTATTTTGTAGGTCCCTGAGAGCATACTGGATAGTCGATGGGATTGTCGCCGCTCCGATCTCTCCCTCCAGCAGCAGGAACCCAGCCAGCGACGTGAGCAATCCTCCTCGTCGTCTTCCTCGTCCTTCATCTCATCCACACTCTTCTTCCTCGCTTTCGGCTGCTGCTGCCCTTGCAGTCCACTGTCTTCGTGGAACTCTCTATCTTTCTCCACATTTGCACTGACAAAACGGCCTGTTGAAGTTTCGTCGAGGAAAACCCTAGAGGAATGACCTCTAGCGCGCCCAGATTGGTGCTCAACACCAGTAGAACTGAGACCAGTCTCAGCGTGCGATGGTTTTTTAATTTTTTCATGTTGGACATCTATGGTCCTCAAATGACCCGTGACGCTGGAGGAGTAGATAAGATTTGGCGGTGGCCAGTCCGCGGACGAAATCATGGTTCGTTTCAGTTTCTGTTTTGTGCGCAGAAAACGTTCTCTCGCCCAGGTCATAAGCGCCTCGGTGTTAGTCATCCTGAAGACGATGAGGCTGGGGTCGTTGGGGGAGAAAATATAAAGGTTGCCGACCGCGACACTTCGCCTGAGTCAGCCAATGAGAGCGCAGAAAAAACCTCGCACACCCGTTGGATGCTGTAACCCTGTCCAGGACGAATTAAACGAGAGATTTTCCCCCTAACAACAAAGTTCTGTTTTGGTGGCCTTAAATGCCAGTGGACAGCAGAAAGTGCTCTCAAAACTGGCAAAGATGACGGGAAAAAATCAGCCTTTTTGCAGTTGCCCCAGTAGCCCCCAACATAATATGTAAGACTGTCAAAACGTACTGTTTTTCCAACGCAGGTACTTTTGATAAAAAAAACGCAGCACACCGTACACTGAGATGACAAACTCAAGTTACTTGCTGACCAAATTAACTGTCAGATTATTTCCCTGGAGGCAGTTAATATTTTTCTATTGAAAAAAGTATTATCGCAGCTTGGTAGGAAAGTGAACACTGACGAATGTAAGATCACTTCTAGCCGATCCTGAATACGTGGAATTTGATACATATATTTGGAGTGTCTGCGAGCTAAAAAGGAATTAGGCGAAAATCTATAGCATGCTCAGTTCGTGTGTAAACAAAAGGCGTTTTACGATATAACGCGGACCTTTAAAGGTGATTCTGTTGGTAGAAATATTGAGAGACTGGGCTCTCAATGACCAAATCCAAAAGGGGAAAGGAAGAGAGCGATTTAGTTTAATCTGCTAAGAGCAACAAAAAACTAAAACCTAACACACCGCATCGATCTCATTTGGTAAACTGGCTGCGTCCATAGGTCGATGTCGGTCGATCGGCGTTTAGGAGGTCAACAAGCGTTGAACGAAAGTTTGTTAACGTGAATTCCACGCCAGGCAGAATTAAAGTCGCATTATGGTCACCATAAATCCTACAACGAGAAGATACGGGAACAGACGAATATCTCCAGATATTGTTATACTTCGGGTAAAAATCGTGTTGGTGCCGAATCACAAGTGCTGAACTGTAAATTGTCGAAAACACTACGTAGACACTGAACTTCGAAATCGGTCACTCCACATCACACAAGCGTTTTGAGTTAACACATTTAAGGCCCAGCCGAAACAACTAAAAACTGTACGCAAGTAGTTCCTTCGGCAAGTTAAATACCCAGTCACTGGACGGCAGCTTAGGGCAGGATGATTCGAAGTCCGGAATACAGTTCCCATTTCAAAATGATCCTTTTGATTGTTTGGTGGCTGACAGATTCATTCAATTTAGGCATTACCTGTGTACCGCAAGCAGCACTACGACGCCGCATAAGGCAGTTGAAGGGTATAACGGTGCGGTTGCGCCAATTGTCCGCAAATTCTGTCGCAGTAATTGTGACTGTGCATACGTAAGGATTTTGTGCAAACACTGCAGGCGCATCTCTACAACAGGAAAAATGAGGGCCTAATCTCAACTTAATGATCGTACTGACCAAAGTTGCCGGTCTCTAGAACTTTAAGCTCAAAGAATTCCTGCGCCGATACTTTGAGCACCTGGCGCTTGATATGTGGCTTTCAGACGCCACATACCATTCAGTATATCGAACAGAGAGAAAAGGTTCTTCGGTCGTTACCGCTGCGAAAACACAACAAATCAAATCGACCGTGCCTTTTGCACAAAATTCCTTCCAAATTCGGTTGTCACTACTACGATTTTAAAATAATTTACAATAACACCTCTGTATCATTGCGTTCAGAATGTCTTTTAATTCCACAATAAAACCTAAAAGACGAATTTCAGTTTTGTCAGTATTTTTTGCTTAAGGCCTAAGTAATGAAGAATAGTTATAGACCGTGGGGATGATCCAGTCCTCTTATGATGTTTTTTAGAGCTGTGGACTAAGGTGAGCGTGGGCAGACCAAAAAAAGGCCAAATTCACGACCGCGGGCTCCCCCTAAAATAGCCAGAAAAGGCGACTCCAGTAACGACGAAGAACAATTTCGAAGAAATTGCGGTTTCCACTGCGCCAGCAACACAAGACCTCTGATAGATTTGTAACCAACACGTATGGGTCTCCGAAAACAACCCGACGGCGCCTCAATTTCGATCATGTTTATTAATGCATAAAATCTGCCTTTTGAAATTCAAACGATATTGGATTCCTGCTTGCCGTCCAGCTAAGACTTTACTGATACAAGCGAAGATGCGAGTTCCAGGAACTAGTTGATCAGGAGAAGAAGCGATCGCTGGAACAAGGTCTTTATTCGCCTGGCGTTTCGGATTCTCACTTGAATCCATCATCGGAGACAGTAGCAGAAAAGGGTGACTCGTGCACAAGAAGCTGCAGTAGTTATAGGATGCAGCCGCTATGCTACCGCATACCTATAGCAATTAACCGCGTTCCCCTTCATGAAGGATCTTTGCCTGCTGGTGCGCTAATTGCTTGCTGGCCGGCATGCAAATTGTTAATTACCGAAATTTCATCACCCGTGTTGGATTCTGGCGTGATAATTGCTCGGCCATCTGGCTCACCGGCTTGCGCGCGCCCCGAGTGGTCAATTACCTTGGCCAGCCTATGCCTCAGCACGCAGTATGGAGTGGGCATGTCGTTGCACTTGTTGATTGATTGAGGTCCCGTGAATCATGACTCAAGCGACTCGCGGCTCGCACGATTATCCCCTCTCGCGAGAATTTCGGCCTCATTGAACTTGAATGTGTGGCCGGGTCTCGTCGAATGGGCCGCGACCTGAGAGTTGGCGTCATTCCTCCGTACCGCTGCCGCGTGTTCGGCAATTCGCGTTCGAAGCAGTTCTCCAGTTTCTCCGACGTAGTTGCTTTGTGCGCAACCGCACCAGATCCGCTAAACGACTCCAGATGTTTCATGCCGTGGCAGTGGGCCTTTTGGTCTCATCACCTGACGCCTCAAGGTGGCCTGCGGTCTGTGTGCAACTCCAGCCCCAAGAGGTGCAAGAAGGCGGCTAACGGCCTCGGAGACGTTCTTGATGTACGGGATCGCTCGCCAGAATTTGGGGTCGGTACGGTTTTGTCGCTCGTCTCGTTTGCGCATACACCGGTTGAAGAAGTTGCGATTGCTTCTTCTTCTGATAAGACTTTACTGTCCAAAATGTCGTTATTTACGTGTAGGCGGAAGTCAGTGCGTCCGTGGCATCCTGGCTTTTGTTTATTGCATCAATACGGTCTGTAGGATTTACAAAGAAGATAAACAATTTTAAATATTGCAAAGGCCAGAATTCTACCGTTAATGCATAACCTGTAAAGCGCTGGCCTGAATTTTGGAGAGGCGTACGCTTGGCTGGTATGTGATGCATAATTTGCATGATGTGAAGGTCACACGTTGTGTCCAAGGACACGTCCTTCTAACCGAACGCTTCCTGTGTAATCAAACATTAACATATATGATCACGTTCCTTAGGTGGATTAGGATTGTTGTGCCCCGTATCTTCAAGGTTATTCTTTCATAATCTCTTCGTATCACAGGGCGATTATCTTGTATGCCCGTTTTCGGGACTCGGTAATCAGTAATTAATTAAAATTTTATTAAGAATTTAACAAAATGCATTCTATAAACTATGAATTTGAATATCCACAGCGTCACCGAAAACTAACTTTAGGTCTATAAGAATCATCGGAGATGCAGAAAGCAAAGTTTAGCATTGCTCATATTAAAAAACGTTTTAGAATTTACCTTTAAGCAGATAGCAAATTGTAGGAACTTTAAAAAAATACTAACCCTTCGGTTTCCTTTTACGCCGCACCGCAACTTCGGGGGCTGCTTCATAAGTGATACTTGAGGGAGGCTTTAATCATATTCAGACACACCGGAGGACAGATAAGGCGGTTACCAAATCCCCGTTTCTGATCTTGTGTCAAATAACTACTGGACCATCGTACATATATCAGTTGGGCTAGAGCAATGGTAGGCACACTAACCGTTTCCGACCAAATACCATGATCGCTCACCTTTCACAAAAAACAACCTGTTAAAGATTTGCATCAATTAGATAAAACGTACAAGATTCAGACATGATAGTCAACCTTTATGACCGCTGTAATTTTATCAGTCGGGATACGCAAACATCCGTCCAGCATTTTCAGGTTTAAACAAAAAGTAACAAACCATCACACGAAGATAAAAGAGAAAAAATGGAACAAGCAAATTCGGACGTCAAAAATGTTAAACAATTAAGTAACAAACCAGGCTAGTGTCATTTGATCATGTAGTATATGTATTAAAGCATATTCATCAGAACAACTCTCCTAGATATGAGTTAAAATTGATGTTGTGACATATTCGAGCAATTTCAACAGCTAATACCTGTCCTAGACATCGTCTGCACATCTGAACGTGCTTTTTTAAGAAGAGGTTATTAACTTTGCAGAATCTTATTAAATGGAGTCTGCCGCATTCGCAAACGAACCTTCTATCTAATGCTGACCGTAGAATTCAGGTTGGAGACCCACGGCCAATTTTTAAAAAATCAAAAGTTTATTCGTTTTATAAAATCCATGTTTGAAATTCCGCATGAATTCGTGCCCTCCCGTGCGGTACTAAGGCACGCAGATAATCCCTCGTCTAAATTGACCAAAATTATTTTTATGTTTCGAAAAAAAGCATAAGGTGACATCAAAATACCTATCACCGAGTACTTATTTTTAGTCCTGAACATATGGGACGTCACCTTTCATGCAGTTTAGTTTTTGCGTACACGTAATTTAGAAATGAAGCGAGCGTTAAATTGACAGTTTCAGCAACATATCAGTGTTGTTATGGCAGCCCTGCCGTGCATTTGTAATCGTAGATCGCTGTCCAGACGTGAGGAAGGTCAGAAAAAATAAGTTCAATATAAACACAAAAGCACGTTCTTACTTTTCGGCAGCAAAATATCAGTATTTTGCAGCAACCGGAAAGAAACGAACAATATGTGAGGTCTTTCTCTGCCTTGCTGTGTAAGAATGCTAAGTACACATAAGATGACTGTCAAAGTGGCATTTTTTCGTAAATTTTGCA